ACTGGTCCTCCAGAAGCTCAGTTCAAGGTACAGCACGTAAAAACTTGTCAGTCTGTAGCGGCCTTTGGACTGTTAAGGGACAATATTGAAAAGAAAACACTTAATTCTAAGCACCATTTTATTCAGAATTGTAGCAAATGCTTGATTTTTGCTTTCCTTTTGCTGAAAGGTATCTTGTATGAATATAAGAATAACACAGTACTATCAGAGGCCACATTCTGGTCACCTGAAAACTGGTGGGAGTTTCATGTAAGTTAGAATCACATCTAGCACGAAAATAGGGCCATATTACATTCTTAATTTTCCCTTTTATCTACGAGCACAATAGTTCAGTCTTTCTAGCCTGTTTTAATACATCCAACAGTTTAATGTGTTTAATTGAAAGAACAAAGCTGACAAGATGAGAGACTGAGTCTTCCCGGGTTATTTTTGCTTGCCAAACGGAAAATGCTTTTTGGGTAGCTCTACAGATAAATGCAAGATTTCTAGTTGTATTTCCACTACAAGGACATACTCTACCTGATGATTCCATTTGTCTTCAAAATGAGTTCTGGAGTGGCCTTCTGCCTTAAGTGCCAAGGGATAAATCTAGTTACCCGAAAAGGAGTTGACCACGTTAGGAGTGATGCAGCCAGCACAGTGCAGCAGCCTGGCCTCATCACCCATGAGGCCCACAAGAGCTAGAAAGTCACTTTGAGCGTTCATGTCCTGGCATCGTTCTCTTGTCTGTTCTCACTTTTGTCTTTGTACATTGCTTCAGGACATCTTGCAAGAAGGAGGTGCACAAACCTCCAGAATATCTAGAATCAGTTTCATTAACCCCTTTAGGAGTTCTGCAAAAGTATCGGGGCAGGTGTTTTGCAGTGGTAACCGTGAACAAGACGCATTTGGGATTATTGGTCAGTTACCATATACATTTGAGAAGCTATTTAAGGTGAAACATAATCTAGAAGCTCTGCCTCCTTGAGGTTTTCTCTGTGTGTGTGGGCTTGGCCATGTGGCATCTTCCACATATGGTGGTGCTCTTGGGATTTTGGGATCAGCATAAGGTCAGATTCTGGCTACCTTTTCTTTCCATCAAATATCAGTGAACTTGCCCTCAAGCTGTAGCAGGCTGAAGCAGATTTGGGCATCCCTTATCCTGATTTTTCATGCAAAGGCTTGTCCTTAGGCTTCTTCTCTAAGATAGGCTTGAAGTCTCACAGAGTTCTTTCGCCAGCTCTTCTCCCCAAACTGGATCATGCAAGGAGGAAAGTCTCCCCTTTCTGCACCTCCTCCACTGGTTAAAACCACATTAATCAGTCACTGCTCTACACTTGGGCTTCTGCTTGCAAAGAGGGATCAATGTACTAGCACAGCCGATGCTCCTGACTATGCTGGTCTTGTGAAGGAGAAGGCTTATTCCTTGGCACTTCCTTCAGATACAGTCCTTGTAGTCGTCTACTACTTGTGCAACGCCCTCAGTCCTTTCTTCTATCACCACTGTAAAACCAAAGCATGCCTTACAGTCAGGGCCAAACTTCACTAACACTGTCCTTAAGCTCTGTTTAAGAAAAGTCTTCTCTATCTCTGAGCATTGCTTGTTAGGCACCAAGAACATAACTTGGGTGCACAACAACTTGAAGGGGGAATAGCTGCTGCTCAGATGAGTAACCAGCTCCTGTGATTCATGCCCATGGTAGCTGCAGTGGCTGCACCCCGTTCTTCCTCAGCGGCAGTAGCCTGAGGATGTTGCGGTATGCAGGGCTGCTTATTAGCAAGGCAATGGTGAAAGAATTTGCCACTCTTTATGGCCTCTGCTGCAGTGCTCCCTAGAGTTTAGGCATACCCGTGACACCAATATTCAGAGATGATCATATTGCCTTGGATCTGGGACACGTGCAAGTGAAGTGGAATTTAGCATAGACAACGCATTTCAACCACTGTTTTACTGTGAAGGAGCTGCAGCCCAGTTAAGTTGTTTCCTTTCCTTAAAGACTACCTCAACAGCTGAAAGATTTGGGATGTTGGAAATACACCTGTTATCTTTTAAAAGATCAGCATCCCACCTTGCTTTATAATTCAGCAGTAACGCATGCTTTTTTCCTGTAGTACCTCTCTCACTGAGCCCTGCAGCCTGTGCAGGTTGTCTAGGTGTTATGCACACAAAAAGCATTGCTATCGAAATAAAAATGGCTATGCTGGCTACTGTCTAATAAATTTGGAAATAATTTCAAAATGTCCAGCTCAAGGTGATGACTGGGAGTAGTACTTTATCTGCTCTTAGCAAACACTTTTTAAAGTGTTTTCCTGGAGCAGGAATCCCCGATTCGAGGGCTGTTGATGGTGCCAGCACATGGTAGTTGTACTGAGTTCTTGTATGGCTTTTTCATGTAGTCTTTTGTCTCACTGGAAAGATGATAGTTTTTGTCCTCTGTGGCAGGGTCCTGTGACCTGCAGTATCCCACCTAGGTCAAAGCCATGGACTACAGATTTTTACATACGCTTCAGGTGGAGTCTGACTTACCCAAAAGACTAGAGTACTTTCAGCTCCAAGGTCACAAAATGTCTTTCATCTTACCCACTCTAGAGCAGCCTGAATTTGCATAGGCTTTTAGGACATGAGATAGAAATATGATAAAATGAGCTGCCACTTTTTAAAATAATCACATCATGCAATCTTTTTGGACTTTCAATATTCCGTTGCAGTGGTGGCCTGTAAGATGGTTGCATATAGCGTGTACGCAATGACAGGGCTGCTGAGCATGATTTGAAGGAGGTGATAAAGAATCTGAACTGGAAAGGCTTTGTGGCCCCAGGTTTATAGTTGTTACAGAGCATCTCTTCAGTATCTCAGTAGAAATGTTCTTTTGATGCCTTTAGGAGATGCAGAGTAAAAGATCTGGTTGCCATTTCTCAAGAAATTCACTGATGAACAGCAGGGAATAAGGAAATAAATTTGTTTAAAAATCAGCACGATACATGAGCTTAGTCTCTGTGTACGCTCTTATTGCTACCTGGCACTTGCGTGTTCCCCAAAAAAGGGCACCGTGCACTGGTCGGACTAATGCTGCTCCCAGGGTGCTATTTCGATCCAGGCAGTTTGATTTTTCACTTCAGAAAATAGAGCAAGCTCAGATTTATTTGTTTTTAAACAATACGTTGTAATGGGTTGTAAAAGTAAGCTGTTTGCTCTAATTGGAGTCTTTATCCCATGACTTGTCGGTGGGGGGTGTGGGGGGGTGGTGTTGTGGCTTTTCTTTTTTCAGTTTAACATCTTTAAAAGAATGGGTTTCTGAGCCAATTAATAGCATTCTGTGCTCCTGGGTGCAATTAAAAAAATGCTTCAGCCAGACAGTTCTTCTCTCCACCACTCTTTACCTCTATAGAGACACAATAGTTTCTTTTAAAAGGAATATTTCTACTAAAAACCAGAATAATCTCTGTTAAATAGCTCCGTGTTTCCCTTGTTTGTCATATAATCTTTAAAGTTGGACAGCGGTCCTTCCTAGTTTGGTACCAAGACTTCTTTTAGAAAAATAGTTCTTGTATTTATTAGGGAAAACGCTCTGTCAGGGTACTGAGAATTCTCCTTTCTGTGTAATTTCTTGACATTAACTAGACTTCAACAAGCGCATTCTCTAACTGCAAGCGTTTTTTCAGGCTCAAGGTAGAATCTATGGAAAACTCAAAGAAGAGAATTTTTTTGGACCTAAAGAAGAAGTGAAACTTGAGGCTCATATAAAAGTGCCATCCTATGCTGCTGGTAGAGTTATTGGTAAAGGAGGCAAAACAGTAAGTAGCTGAAATAAAACTTTTAGTGTTGTTCAGTTATGTGTCTTATTTCAGTGTGTATACGTATGTAAGTCTTGAACATTTAGCTAACTAACAGCTAATCCTTTAAAGTTACTTTAAAGCAGGTGCCATTTTCTTAGCTGTTCTTGTTAAGCTCTCCTTTCTTCTAGCGTGGAGTCAAGAGAAGCTGATCTCATAGAATATTTCAGAAAAAGAAAGTCTGACAAAAATTGATAGTGCCAGTCAGATCTGCAGGGCTTTTATTAATAGAAACCTAGTTCTTCCATGGGAAGAACATGGGAGTACGTTCCCACTCAAGACCTGCTTCTGTAAACCTTAGCTTATGCCAGATTTTGCAAAAAGATTTCACTAATCTCATTTAATTAAAATCAAACCCAGTGTGTACAAAGGTGGCATTTCTGGCCAAAACAGAGTGAAAGCATAATTTCTAAGAAGTGGTAGGACTTTAAGACATGTTCAGACCTCAATATTACAAGAACCCTATATGTTTTTGCTTCAACTTAATTGATGGCATTTCTTAGGATTTCTTAGGCTCAGTGCATAAAATAACATTGCTGAGACTTTTCAATCCTGAGAAGTTGCTGGCACTCCAGTATTTTCATACAGCGGTAGGTCAGGAGCTAGCTGATATTTGAAAAGAAATGGTTCAGTCTTGGGTCTCCATCCTTGAATGCAATGGGGTCTTGAAGTTAAACATCAGCAGGCAGTGTGGCCTCTTTCAGTACTTGCAGTGATAAGAGGTTTAAGCACTATGTCTCCGAAAAGTTGTTCATTTTTTAATTAAATAATGCTATGCATTTCTAAAATAAACAGAACATAAATGGGCAAAGACTCTAACTGTACCTCTACTTAACACTCTGAAAGCTGATAGGCTACTGAAAATAATTTGGACACTTCTCATTGCTCGTTTGGAGTTCTCCATCTTGTGGAGGTTTTTCAAGGAAAACTGTATAAATACTTTGACACTTCTATTTCTTCCCGACACCATACATGGTATGAGTTTTCTGACCTTAAACTTGTAAACTCAGCTGTAAACGCTGTGGCTTCTATTTGCTTTTTTTAAGTCATGTATTTAGCACCTTCTGTGTGTTGTATTTAGTCTTTAAAACACTTCTACAAACCTAGAGAACTTGGTGCTAATTTATGTTAGAGACACAAGAGGCTCATCTTGCAAAGTGCACACTGCTGCACAAAGCTGCTTTCTGTTAGTGGGTTTCCTTTTTTAAACCTAACTTAGAGGATGATGTTTCTGTGGCCAGCAGTATCTTTGAGGCTTGGTGGTTGTGGGATATTTGTTTGTTGCAGCTTTTCTGACTTCTACTATCTATTTACAGGTAAATGAGCTTCAGAACTTGACAAGTGCAGAAGTTGTAGTCCCTCGTGACCAGACACCTGATGAAAATGATCAGGTGGTTGTGAAAATAACTGGTCACTTCTATGCATGCCAGGTAGGAGGGCTGGAACAAATTCCTGTCTTACCTTCATGTTTCCTTGGTCTGTCTTTTATATCCGTGTGCAGAGCCAAGGGATGGAAAACTTTTACTCAGGATACAGAATGCTGCTGCCAGGCTCTTCTAATTGTGTTGCTGTGATAAACTTTCCTCATGCCTACAAGAGAGATTTAAACAATATTGCACTTTTGCATACATAAAACAATCTTCTTAAATTCTCCTGCCAATATACGTAGGCTCTGGCACTGCTAAAACTTTCAAAGCAGAAGAAAACCCAAGTTGCAATCAGACTGAAATTCAGACAGGAGATACAAGCCACCTCACAGTACCTGGCAAGAGCTGCACGTGTGTATGCAATTTGTCCACATCGCCCAATCTGATTTCCTATCACAAAAGATCTCAAGACTCCTTCCCTCACCTAACTCTTCGTTCAGACAAACTCCTTTTGCTACTTTGCTACAGGTGACTTGTAGTTCAGAAAGGAGATGGGAGGGCTGTGAAGTCCTCCAAGTCTGACCACCTGGATTCCCTGGTGTATAAAAAAATAAGTCCGCTCTCTACTAAAACAGTGGTTCTTACAAAACATTACTATCTCCAGAGGAGTAAAATGAAAGCAGCCTGCGGCCTCAACAATCTTAATGTTCACAGTCATCTTCCAATGCTCATGCTTTCTGTATTATAGATGTGATAACTTACTATACCGGTAGTTATTGTAGGTGGAAAAAGAAATTAAGTTATACATCATAAGTACAACCCAAGTGTACTTAACAAGTAATCTTGTCAGTACTAGCTCCTTAGTTATTCCAGATTTTCTTAATCCCAGTAGCATCTATAGTCAGTTGTAAACAGCAGGCACTGTGGCACAACATCATGATGGGTTGTTTCTTCTTTGTCCTTCAGCTTGCTCAGAGAAAAATTCAGGAAATACTGGCTCAGGTAAGAAGGCAGCAGCAACAGCAAAAAACATTGCAAAGCGGACAGCCTCAGCCAAGACGAAAATAAAGGTTTAGGAAATGGCCCATCAGAGACAGATGCCAGACCAAAGACAGACTGTGCGACAGAGAGACGGGTGGTGAGCACCTGTTGAAGTCATATGCAGAAGATCCACCAAGCCAATCACCTGTTCGAGGACCAGGCAACCGGTGAACGCTGTCTCTGAGAATGTATTCTTTAGGCTCTCTCAAACTTTTGAAACCCAGCTTTAAAATAAGGACCCCTTCACTTCCCTTTTGTTCTATTCTCACAATTTAACATAAACTCGTTAGTCTTTTTTATTGTTCTTATTATTCCCCAACAATTTTAGAACTTGGTTTAATGAAGCTTTCTCTTCTGAGTTCACTGGTTTAAAAAAAAAAAAAAAGAAAAGAAAAATGAAAAAATACAAAAAAAAAAACCACAACAAAAAAAGAAAAGGCATTGCTCTTATAGGTCCAGCTCTAAAAGAAGAAACACATTTGGAGGGTGGGATTGCGGGTGGGCTAGGGTTAGAGCAAGGGTATTGACAAGAGTTTAAGTGTTAGTCCCAATGTTGAAACAAGTGGCATTTTTTAAAAATAATTTGGTTGCATTTTTACATAACACTGCCATGAATAACCTAAGGGAAGTGTTGAATGGTGTTGGCCAGGGCATAAAAAGATAAATATGCATTTTACTAAACTACCTCAGGCATTTAGTACCTCAATGAGAAATTGTTCCTTTTTTGCTTTTTTTTTGGTATTTTGTATACTTTATAAAGCTAATAGTTCTTGAGCATTTTATTTTTTTAAAAAAAATTAAAATTTGATCAGCCACCAGCCAGGAGTACTACAGATTTATCGGGGAAAAAATATAGTAGAGCACTTCTAGCTGCTGGCTGATGGGAGTAAGGTGGGTAAAAAAAAACATAGCCTCAGATTTTCTGAGGGCTTCAACACCATCATTTGTTTAAAAAAAAAAAATTCAGTGAATGTTCAAAAGATAGTGAATGATGCCAACATTCTGATAGCAGCAATGCCGTTTAGTTTTCTTTTAAGATGGGATGAAAAAGTTTGTGACGGTACTTTTTTGGGAACAGGACAAGGAAGTGATGGCAAGAGGCTGGGGTTGGGGGAAAAAATTAGAAGGCTGCAAGAGGCTGAATTTTTTTTTGTGCTACTTGATTGAATGCATGAACCCTTTGTGCCTTTGACCATCACTACCTAATAATGCTACATTTAACCATTTGCAGCCCATTTGGACTTTGCCATTTTGTTCAAAGAGCAAGCTTCATCTTCAGTTTGATAGAACACTCGATCTGCTAGAGCGTATCTGGGGCCAGGAGGGTCTCTGCTGCCTGCAGATTGCATCATACTGCTTTCAGTTACCATGATGGGGGAAGGTCAAACAGTGTTTGATCACGTTGAAAGATAAATGAAAGGCTAAGTTTACATATCCAGCCGCTGTTATGGGCCACACTAAGCCACTTTGAAGGTTTTAAAAATTAATACAAGAGAAAAAAACAAAAACAAAAACCTCTCTAGCCTGGCTTATAATAGATGCAGCAGGATTTATGCACGTTCTGCAACCAACCATTAGAGAAGAAAAAAAAAAAATGTCAAAAGGCAGGGATAACAGGAAAGTTACCAAATTTTTTAATTTCCAAATGTAATTTGAATGATGATTGTGGTAACAGTGACACATTCAAGTTTCTACAATAAACTTCAGTCTACCTCAGTTTAAGAAAAAAAAATGTGGCAACACATGGTGCATAAAGACTGCTGTGTGTGTGTGTGTGTGCGCGCGTGCGCGCCTGTATGTGTGTGGTCGACAGAGCCATGCTCTTACCTCTGAACCTTTTTTTTTGTGATGTTTTTTGTGCATGAGATGATCAGAATCACCATGCTGCACTGATTTGAGGGGCACAACGAGCAAAAACATTTGTTTCATCATTTTGTTATCTACCTCTTAGGTTCATGTTGAAATAGAGGCATTACTACATAGACTAGATAATTTTCCCAAAGATCATTGTTGTACAGATTAGATAATTTTGAAAATGGTCTGAAGTGTTTTTCCTGCATCTCTTCTTTACTAATTGGTTTAAAAACCACAAACTTATGTTGTAGTTTTAGCAAAGAAAAATGAGTTTCTTTTCCTTTTCTGACAGTGACCTTCATCTAGCCTTTAGGATAATTTTTTTTTTCTTACAATGAATCTAAAATTACTGAAGTATGAAAAGTCATAGCATTTTAATTTTTGTTGAGGCTTAAGTCAGTCTGATGTTCCTTTCTTAACATTTGAGAAAGATTTGACTTCATTATTTTCCATAAAAATTACTTTACAAATAGGCGCTGCATTTACATCTGCTGATTTAAATACTGTCATCTCTCTTAAATTTCTAGACTTAGTATGGTAAATCAAGTTTTTCTTTTCAGTTGAGACTTGGTAATTTGGAGTATTTGGGAATAGCTAGAAAGTAAAATACTGTAAATGACTTCAATATCCACAAAGTATGGATCATTTTTCATCTGTAATGTGCCCCCCAATGCAGCTCCACTTGCCAGATGCCTCTGAATGGAATAAAGAGTTTAACTCCTATCATCAGATACAGTTGTGTGGCGTTTTTTTAAATTAACGAGGCATAGAGACAGACTGTTCTAAGTATCGGTGGTGCTTTGATCAGGTTGGTTTTCTGTCCATAGTAATAACTGGAGAAGGACGAGCAGTCACCCACAGGGATTCCACAGCTGCTGGGGCACCCAGTAGCCAGCTTACAACGCTTGCACTTCCCAACACAAGCAGCGACTCCTGTGGCTTTGCAATTCGCCTTCTGCCTCTCACGTAACAGTGCGATACAGTCCCCAGCACAACCTGTAGCTCACAGTTTCAGTCTTGCACAGCTCACTTGGGCTGAGGTGCCGGGGAAAGGAGGTGCTCTCAAGGGTCCTGACCCAGGGCGAACAGAAAGGAATCTTGAACAGGTTAAAAAGTGAGATCTGAATGGCAGTTAATTTTTTTTTTTTTTGCTCTTTTTTACCCAGTCTTTACTTTGGTGCTCTCCGCATGATGAAGCTGTGCAGGGAACATGGCCCAAGAAGCTGGGATAGGCAGTACTAGTCACACCAGCAAGCAAATGTGATGGCAACCTGTTCCTCAGTCCTACCAGCACCACCCCACAAGCACACACCACCAGGTGGTATCACCTCTCCAGTTAGATCCTTGTTAATGTTATGTGGAATAGAAATGAGACTAATTGTTTAACCGAAGGCTTGAGAGGGAGGGGTTGGGGAGTGAAGGAATGTCATGAATAATATAGTCCCATGTTTTTTAAAGAGGAGTGGAAAACCAAACTTGTTTTCTAAACTCTTGCACCTTCCCACTTATCTTCATAGCTCATTTTCTGGGACCAGCCAGCAGAAATAGGGAACTGAAGAAATTATGTCTGTAGAAGACACTGCGTAGGGTATTGCATTTCACAGGGAACTCTTAAGCTCATTTTTCCATGCCAATATCGAGCCACCTTCTCAGAACCAGCATCCCTGACATCTGAATGACATAAGAAGTTAAGCATTCCTCTGTAGCGCTGCTGCGTGGCAGCTAAACCCCTGTGTAAGCATTTGCTTAATCATGATGCTTTTATTTGCTTCTAACCTTCCAAAGCTTTTATTCCTAAGCTGCAACTTCAAAGGCATGTGCTCTTTGTGTTCGTTTCTATTAAATGAAGCATGTATGCTGTGCAGGACAGCATGGTCTCAACACAGCACTAGGGCAAAGGCTTTTTAAGCGAACATGAAGAAAAACTGCGGAGTAATCACTTAAGCTGGGCTGTAATGGAGAGGCTAGCTCAACTGCTGAATGCAAACACTGCTGGTAACAGAGTTATTCACAGGCAGTGCAGGAAATAATTGGTGAAATGATGACAGAAGTTCCACCTTGGCAATTGTTTCTCTGTTCATACCATCATCAAGGGATCCTGCACCTACCTCTATACAGGGCTGAATGATGAATCTATAGACTCATTGGACAAGCTGCTCAGTGTTTTTATTTTACACAGAAATCATCCAAGCTGATGATCTGAAACCATTCCCAAAGGCTTTTCTTCCAAAAGGGGCCTAACGCTGCATGGCACTGATCATCCAGACTGGCTTTGTGGATTCCTCGGCTCCAGCTGCTAGGAGGGTCAGGCCAAAGGCTCACCAAGCTGGGCAGGTAACCGGCTGGGGCAGCGCAGGAGCTTAGCACAGAGTCCAACTGCTTCTGTCAAACAGGGGATGAAGCAGCTCTTTTCCTGAGCTGGCAGTTCTGATTATTTAATAGCAACCAGGGGATGTTCCGTAGAACTCCTTTTCACAATGTGCTTTGGCAGTAAGTTCAGTTATTAATATATTTTACCAGGTTTTGTCTCCTCAGTTCATTTGATTTTATTTTTTTTTGTCTTGTCTTACAGACTATTACCCCTCTCCAGCTATACGAGCCCTAGTCTGTTCACAGGCTAGGATTCTGTCTCTTAATTCTTCTTGTCTGGGTGCTCCTTTTGTTACTGCGCCCTGAGGCAGGACACGGCGTGCGGTTCTGGTTACTATGTGGGTTCATATAATGGGGTAACGTTTGCTGAACCTGCCTCTCTCCATCGGGTGTTTCTTACCTCCAGCAGCAGCAGTAAAAGGCAAGTGGTTCCAGGGAATGATCCAAAGCCACTCCTATGTATCCCTCCCAGGATGAAATGCCTGATTTAGAACCCATTGCTCGGTAAGACAGCCAAGGTTATCTTTTCCCCCGCATGTACTATTTATTGACAAGTATCATACAGCATTTTGAAAATATTTCTGTGCAGTCAGACTTACCACCACTACCTTTATATCACAGGCAAAGATGTGTTATCTCCATAGTTTAACTACATTTAATAAATGCTTCTTGCTTAATTTGCAGAAGTATCTGCTGCCTGGTGTTAAAGATCAGGTGAACTCAAGGGCAGTTATTCCTGAAAGAACAGAGGCTAGGCACAGCAAGAAAACATGATCAGTCTGAAACAAGGGAGAGGTTTTTCTCTGTGTATGGTGTTTTCTTTTTTTTAAAAACCTACCAAATGCACATATACATACCTCCTTCCCCCTAAACAACACAACCACAGGCACAAAAACCAAGGTCACTTTTTTTGAGCATTACAAACAGCAGCTGCTGTGCAGGGAAGGGATACAGACAGGGCTTGAAGTAGTTTGTGGGGCTACGGGTGGAAGGTGAGTACCCTCAGGCTCTACTATTTCTGCTTCTTGATGCATGGCAGAGTGAGCTTCTCCAGAAGGAAGAGGTCCTAAACTAGTGATGAGTCTTGTCCTGTAGCGGGGAAAAGCATCTTGGTTCTTAGAAGGTTGGACTAGATGACCCACAGAGGTCCCTTTCAACCCCTACCATTCTGTGATTCTCCTAGGCAAGTTTTGCTACCATCTTGAGGCTCTTCTAACTGGTTATCAGACCATGCAGTACTCAAACCAAGACCACACTGCACAACAACTTCTCAAAGTGCTGAACAGTCCATTAGCAGCAAGTACTGCTCCATGTCCAAGGGCTTCCTTTAGAACTGTTTTTGCCTGCTTCAGAGGAGTTCAAGGTTTACGCTGCTTTAGCACATTGCCTCAGTGTCCTTTTCTCCAGAAATGAGGTGAGGAAAACTAGGAGAGGAGCTAACTGCATGCTTAAAATGAGCTGAATGTTTTACCATGAAGACACAGAACTGAAGCTCTTCAGGGGTTTTTTTTATTAGTAGTAGTAAAAACAGATTGACCTTGGCTGAAAAAACCAACTTACTGTTAACTCAAGACACATTTATTTGTCACTGCTGCTCTTGGCTTTTATGTGCTCAGTAACACGTTTGGTTTCTCTCCTTCTTCAGAGCACGACTTGCTTCATCTAAACTGTATTATTTCACGTAGTTTTTCCTTGTAGCACTCAAGTCTTTTTCTGTGCTGCCACTACAGGCAGGTCTTTCAAAGATATTACAAAAACAATTACTGCAGAGGCTGAGCATTAGTTTCAGGGTAAGCTGCTCAAGCAGCTGCCTCTGCCCCACTCTTCTCACTGCAGACTCCCTTGAGACAGTGACTCCCCCAGGAAGCTCCCTTAGGATTCCTTCTTTGACGTTTTACAGTTGGACTCGATCTTAAGGGTCTTTTCCAACCTTAATGAGTCTGTGAGTTTGATCATTTCTGCAGCTTGTTCAGAACTTTACCTAGGCACATCCAATAAACAGACTGTTTTGTACTACCAACTGTAGTGACTGTTAAGCCAGTTATCAGGACTGTATGTCTCAGGTCGCTGAAGGCATGCTCATTTCTCTTTCCACTCAGCAGCTGCATTAAGTTCTTGTCTCAGGATGATCATTGCTGTTAGGAGGCAGTCCAAATATAAAGTCTTCTGGCAATGACAGTGGAGTCATCTGTGCTAACTGGTCATCATAGGAACCAAGAGTCCACAGCTTCTCCAATTCATAAACCTCTCGGGTCTCTGGCAGCATGAAATGTATCACTATGCTACCTGCACAGAACAGAAATTCACAATAAATTCACATGAACTGTAAAGCACTACCACACTTCCAGCTGCACAACGAGTTCAAGTCTTCCAGCCCCATTCTGGCTAGATACAACACGTCAGCTGATAGAGGTCTCTTCTTAAATTCCAGTTCTTGAACAGTGTTATGAATCAGTCGGTCCTTCAACAGACTCAAAGACTACAGCCAGCACAATGAGAGGGGTGATACTCTGGTTTAAATTAAAACACTATCATAAGACTCCAGCCCAATGCAGTTACGACTTCTACGGGACAGAAGAGAAGTAAGCCAAAAGAAATTTTAGTTGAAAGAGTTCCATCTCTAAGGTTACAGATGGACTCTTTCAGCTATCCTATACTACTAGCAACATTCAGCTATAGCCAAGTAATTTTCCTCTCACTTCTCAAGTGCTTTTTATAATGGAACAGGTCCAAACTTTGACATAGTAAGGTTTTTCTTATAGGTTTTCATTAATTCTGTGCAAACAATAGTAGAGAACGTTAATTCCAGTGTAATTCTAATGCACCTTTTTTCCCTAGTTATGCCTCCAAATTTCAACTGGTTTTCAGTTATAACTATTAAAATTATTGGCAGTAAATTAAACAATGCTTAACATCACTGGCTGCAGTGCTCCTCACCCCTCAATGCTCTCTTTTAAGCCAAAACACCAGGTTAGAGGGAGAGATGCTAGAGCTAGACGTGAAGGAGAAATGCTTGTGTAGGGAGTTTCACAGTTGTAGAATAAAGAATTAAACTCAGTTTCTTAGGACTGAGGTTTTACCCATGTCATGGTATGATCTAGACAGTGGAAAAGGCCACTCAGCAGAGTCCCCACTCACCCAAACAAGTATTATATAAACCTGAGAAAATTGCCTGAAGTAGCTTTTCTCTTTCCACTACTGTTATCTTCAACTTATTAAGACCTGTTTTAGCCACTGCAGAGTAGTTACTGCTTTCTTCTCGGTGACAATGAACTTTAGTGAAAATTTACGCAGTGTCTCTCAATGAGTTCAAACAACAACTGGAATTCCAAAACAGCAAGGTATTGTGAACTCTCCAC